GTAAAAATAAGTATTTTTGTATTTTTTAAATATTTTTTCTCTCAGTGTACACTACTAGAAATATAGTAAAATTGAAAAGAATTTAGGTAAAAAAACACTATACTATTCTCTCTATATGGATATGATTCAATATGATATGACATGACATGACATGACACGTAAAGCTGGAAAGTGACAGATTAGCTGCGAACAATCAACATTCATAATATGCAAGCATATAGTTCAGACACGAACGATCATAAAGACTAATGAGATTTCGCTTGGTAAACGTGTCAAGGTTTTATCAAAGCTTGATGTACTCTCTAAATTTTTTCGAGTGAAATTCCGCTGGGAAAGTCGAGCAACAGCCTGTTCGCACGAATTCAACAATTTTGTAGAATTTGACGATTTTGTAGAATTTATAATTCTACAAAACTCATACAACTGTCACCCCTACGTAGTTGTCATCACCATACTTTCCCGCGAGTGCATCTACTTCTGCGATTTCGTGCGGCGATTCGGCCTCCTAATGCCTCGAGTGAACTGTCACTCGGGCTTTGGGCGAAATTTCAGGAGCAGGACAGCCATTTTCTTCATGCAAACGCCGATGTGCCAAAATCGCGAGTTACACAGCGACGAGCGATCGGATCACTTCCGAAGAAATATTCGCAATAAATACGCCATCCGGCCGCCCCGCAGTCGCGATATTGACGTCCGATTAATACTCAGTATTGATTTAATGCCAAGATTAATTACCGCGATAGTAATACGGGATTAATGTTATTTGTCGGCCGATATTTCTGTAACACGTTTGCAATTATTGTTTGTCCTCGATGTGGACGGATTAATCGCGGCGAATGTTTTCACGTCAGCTTGATGATAACCGTGCAGCGACGCGTGCCGCGCGAAGCCCGCATCAAATCGGAGGTCGAGGATTGCGGATGGAAAATTGGAACTTGACCAGTCGCAACTGGCCGAGCCAAGTTCGAAATTGGTTGATTCGTTGCGTCCTATATATCGCCAGCGTCAGTGGCTAGCCCGACGCGGGTTTACCAGAATGCAACCGCCGCAATATCATGGTCAGTACACGGTTAGTGCGTGGTACGCACGTTGCATCGGTCGTTGTCATGACGTTCCGAACGAATGACGCTGTCTGACTGCGCTTTGCCACGCGTGATTTACAGGTGCATAAAATTAGCATCTAACGGCCGAAACATTTCGATATTTGCATTCTCCAGCATAATGCTTATTTTTAGCGATCCTAATCGTCTTTCTCCGCCAAATGGTTTAACCTTCAACAAAGAATATTTTCTTCGTGATATAATCCTAAAGTATACTCGTGACGAACTTCAGAGATGCTGATTGCCACACATGCACTCAAGGGAAGAATTTATTCACTCTACAAGAATATCATTAAACTTCGAAGTTGAAGAAAAAGTTGATTCGACTCTGTGTAGTGAGCAAGCCGAATTTTTCTTCTGATTTAATGTTCCTGATTGAAATGCTAAACTTACTAGGATTCAGAATGCACTTTGAATAAATTTGTTTATGGGGAACTGATGATGGATTTGCGGATGTATAAACTTATGAGATACTTGAAACAGGTAACATTTACTTGAATGCAGTATTTCTTTGGGCGCGATGTCAATGATAATCGTACCCGATATCGAGCTTATCGCACGTCTAGCAGCGAGATTTATCTTATATTAATATAAGTAAATATGTTATTGTAGCACCTACGACATAAATATATATTGTTTCCTAGATATATTTTCTATCTCAGTGTACGTGAAGTGATCAGATAACTTATGTTGCTAACTTATATTTGCTAACATATATCTGCCTTGTATTAAATTAACACAAATCAGGACAAATTTAATGTGAGATGTGCGAATTTAACACAAAATTTTTTGCAGTGAGAGAGCGAAGATATCGGCTATGTTATAAAATCTTCCATTCGGGGAATTTTCATGAAAATCGCGAGAAATGCAGACACATACACATGAAGAATTTTTCCTTGATAATAATTAAAAAAACGCGATTGCATATCGCACGTTATAACGGAGTAAATTATCAGTAAGCTGCAACGAAATCGGGTTACGTGAAATTCTGGCCACTCGCGCTACGTCGAAATGTTAATTAATATGTCGAAATTTCATCGCACGTCGAGTTATGTACATACTGATGTAGACACAGCGATCCGGTCGCATTCCGTTTCGCCGGGCGTTTTGTTTCTTTATAGTGATTTATTGCGTAAAGGGGCGGAAATTGGCTCCATTATTATTGTTATTCGTCGTTATAGGAACGCGCCGCGAAATTCGGTCGACTTTCGTCGTGCAGATTTATCTGTTTCGGCACAAGTGTTTCCCGGGAATTATTGTTATCTGCTGTACATTAATATCACCTTAATCCCCGAATTATATTATCGTTAAGTATCTGTTGCTGCTGAGCGATAATCGATGCGATCGCCAACTGATAAACGCGCGGTTGACATTTAACGCACTGCAACTGATCGCCGACTCGAATAACTCGCGATTAATTGCAAGGTGACCAAATATCCTGGCCCCAAATCTGAGACACTTCACAAATATGTGAAGCGAGAGAAAGAGAGGAGAAAAATGAGTGAAAATTATAATTATATATATATACATATGAAGCACTATTTTATTTATAAATATATGAAAAATACTTTAACATCAATGAAGGCCTGCTGCATGCAATAAAAATAGAAACTCTTTCCAAGATAAAGCTGTAGCATAATGGACTTTCTTCATGAAGTCTTTTTTCTCTCTCTCTGTCAGAAGGATTTTAAAAATCCTCTAAATCGGGACAGTTTGGCCGAATTCGGGACAAATCGGTCTCCTGATAACATTTGAAAAAATTCGGTGCAAAGGGTGAGAAACCGGGACTATCCTGGCGGAAACGGAACGTCTAGTCACCTTAATAATTTATCATTTTTCCGCGGCAACAATGGCGTCCTATTGGTGTCTACGACTCAGAAAGTCGGGCGAGTTTAAATCCTCCGACAATTGTTCCTCGCGGCTCGGACGGGATGCGCAACTCGCGGCCGTGAAACGCGAATGCGACGACGTGACACGCGGTAAAAGTCGGAGGTCAAAGCGGATGTAGCGTTGATCGCAATAAAAAGAAGCGCGGGGGATCTCAAACGCGGGAGCGTTTTCTGCCGCGTCGGCGGCATCGATTCTTTTGCGTCTCTCTCTCTCTCTCTCTCCCCCCTCCTTTTCCCGCTTCTTTCAGCACAAAGATTAAAATCGTACACGAAGCGATTCGTTAGATTTCAAGAATTCACGAGTTTCGCGAGCGAGGCCCTCACTCTGGATGCATATTCGATGAAAAATGCGACCGTCTGATTCCAAGTTTGGTATCTCTGATTCGAACATCGTATACAATGTTGTTTCCGCATGAGGATCAAAAGGACGCACATAGCGTCCGTACGAGTCCGAAATACGGCTTCAAGAGCAAAATTTATGATTCTAAAGAGGAGGAGAACTATATAGGTGACTCCCACGAATTCTCAGTACCGGCCGCGACCACGCAGACGAGAAAGTCGTCAATGGCTTTCCCGGAAGGAGGACACGAACTATACGGATACTACGACGGTCACGTGGTGTTACGCCCACGCTCGTGCACGATCATTCAAAAATCCGCCGGGCCGCGTCGCGGCCCAGGACAGGAGCCAAGGCGACGCGACGCGACCGGACGCGAGCCGACGCGGATCGACGCGATAATCACCTAAGGCAACGTAACGCGAAAACACGAGTTATCGCGAGCGTTATCGCGCCGCGCCGGCGGCGCCGCGGCGCGATGGCGCACCGACAGGTGTTTTCGATCCGCGAGCGTGTGCGGGAGAAGGTGCGAGAGTGTGCTCGAGTCGCGAATCGATTGAGCGCGCTTCTCTCGAGACGGACGCCAGCCGTCCGCGAAGCTGCGCTACGCGTACAGTCCATCGAGTCCGTCGCGAATTGCGAATTCGCCGCGCGTTCTTCAACGGCGTGGAGTTGTCAGTTTCACTCACCGTGCGGTCTCGGCCTCGTTGGACGCCGCTGGGACGCGCACCGCAAACCGAAGCAGAACTCGGCTAACCCCCTGCCAAGCCTGACACACAGACGACACACGGACGACAGCTGTTCGCGCTGACGCGCACGGCCGGCAGACTGCGTGAGCGTCGGCGCGAGCCGCAGGGGACAGTGATGGCGATTGGTCGCGTCCGAGCTGGAGTGGGGAGGGTTACTGTCGAGAGAGTTATTATCGAGATACGATAATATCGATGTGGCGGTCGAGATGCGATGTATCGATTCTTAGGCGCGGGCTAATACAAAATTATTTCTTTTATTAAAATTGACATTTAAGTACCAACGTAAGCCCGGTACGTAACTAATCTTGGATATTTTTATTATTAATTTGATCATTGAATATAATATATATATCTAGACATCTATCAACATAAAATATATATCAACATAATATATATATATAATTTTTTATGTTGAAAGCTTAAATATTCGTATTTAAAGATTAAAATAATAAAAATATCCAGGATTAGGTAAGTGAATTGATACTTTTATCTTTACGAGAACACGTAAGAAGTTTAACAAAAGAATATATATATTTTTTTAGCTTAACTTTTCTAGTTAACTTAGAATTTTAATTTTTTAATTATTCTTTTTAACTATGTACATGATTTTGTTAACGATAATTTTTGTGTATTTATATGCAGCCTTGCAATATCTCGATAACTTAACACTTTTCTAAAAAAAATATATATAATTTTGTCCTTAGTGGAATCCTCTAAAAAGATTCTATGAATGAGATATTTTTGTAGCTGTTAATATTCGTAATTCTCTCTCTTTGTCTTGTAATCCATTTTCAAAAATTTCTTTCCCTGACATAACAGATCTTTCATATTGCTTAAAACATAAGCTTGTAGTAACTGATACGAAGATAAAACACGAATGAGAGATAAAAAAAGATAAAGGAAATAAGATAATAAAACAAGATTGTATGAGAAAGGAATTGTCGAATGGCGTTGCAGTACCTTTTATTATCAACATTATTAATACAGTGAAACAGGTGGTAGTATCATACAGTAAAATAGTGCCGTTTTACAATAGAGCGCTGTAAAGCTTCTTTCATACGTTTATGTAGCATTTGTCCGACGTTTCCTATTTTGCGTTTTGATCTTGTTTCTTCCTCACAGCGATATGAAGTCCTTGAGTTGTTCCTCGATGTCGGGACTAAGCGAAAGCATCAGTGCATCGAAACGATCATCGCCAATCATTCTTCGCATCGCGATTAACTGGCAATTTCGAGAAAGCAATATCGAGTTTAGTATTCGATAAACGATAAACTGTTTAACGAAAACTCGTGAGAGATTCGCTTACCTGATGCTGGACCGTGTCTTTCAAGGATACATTGTGTACAGGATCGGTGAAGGCAAGTTTCTTCTGTCGCTGAGTGTGCTCGGTTTCATAATCCACTTCCTCGTATTGTGACGGACTAGGTTGATCGCCGATCAACAAGGCACTAGAAATTAAGTAAAAGTTTCTGTTTCAACAAAGCTTCAATTTCAGAACAGACTCCGCATATAACAAATAAAATAAACATTTAGGATCTTACTCGAAAGCGTAGCCCAAGTCGTCAATCTTGGTGATATCATGGAGCGCTTCGACAACCATCGCCATTATATGTGGAAATTGCTCAATGATCTTAGAAGAAGAATTCGCTCCTAAAAGAGAGCAAAGTGCGAGGGCTAATAACTTAGTCCTTTCATGTTGTGACACCAACGCCATGCCGCACAGCCACACATGCAAAATCTTGCCGAACACATCTTCCTCAGTCGTATCGTTTCCTTTACTACGCGCTAGATCACTGATTACCTGCGAGTAAGCAATCTTCCGTTAGGAACGGATTTGCCGACGAGTGTCAGCAGCTATTTTGTCACTGTGATGATTCTACACTAATGTCCAGAAATATAAATGTCTGTGCAATTATAAAATATTAATAACTTAATTAAGTCGCGTGTTAAAATAGTATTATACCTTAATTTGTAGCACAAAAAATCATAGCTGACAAAGCGTTACTTTTCTTCTTACCTGTACAAAAATATCTCGAGAAACTAGTAAAACTCTTGCGACAATAGACAAATACATAGTCATGACCATCGGATACTCGTCACCGGCGTAAACGTTCCTGCAAACATATCACGTCAAGTGCTAAATCTCCGTGCGACATTCCGTTCTCCCGTGGAGAAAATCTTACATACTCGAATATCTTCGGTAAAACGGGCTTGATCAATTCCGTGCCTTGTTGAGGTGACGCCCTGAGGCAGGTTTCGAAAACCTTCATCGCCATTACTAAACCGTCCGACCGTAAGTCACTCAGGATATCTTTCAATATCTCGACGACCACCGAACCCCACTGAGTGAAAAAGTCTTGTGGACTTAGCAGCACGTACGCTTGAATTATGTACAAACACAAACGCAGATTATCCGCCGATTGATCTGAAAAGCGAAGGCGTCAGTAGCGCAACATCCTTTAAAGGAACGCGCGATTTTATTGCTCACGATTGTCAAGCTGGTCGCTTACCCAATAACGGCGGCATATTTCTGAAAAGACCCGATATACCCGGTGTTGGTGCTGGTGAGTTTTCCAACAAAGCCAACCACAACTCCAGACCATCGTCTAATAAATAGACATGACCCTCTTGATTAACGTCGCAACTAAGAGCCACGACGTTAACTACTAGCGGCTCCAGAGTCACGCTGTCAGATCCTAGAGCCTTAGGGACGAGATAAGAGAAACGATCGTCTTTGATAAATATCAAAGTCACCGATTAGGTGTACATATATACATATACAGGGTGTCCCGAAGTCCCATGATGACCCTTGGTGAGAACGTAGAACGGATTGAGGTGAGCAAGAAAGTCCTGTGCCGTTTTGCGATATTCGCAATAGTTTTTGAGAAATTAATTATTTTGTCTCAACAAATCAGCGTACAGAAAGCGGCAGCGGAAAGAAAGATGCCTTCGGCCGACGTGCGACCGTGACACTCGCGAATCGTATCTCGCCGCATCCCTCCGCCCATAGCTACGAGACATAGACTCGCTATGTCTCGTAGCTATGGGCGGAGGGATGCGGCGAGATACGATTCGCGAGTGTCACGGTCGCACGTCGGCCGAAGGCATCTTTCTTTCCGCTGCCGCTTTCTGTACGCTGATTTGTTGAGACAAAATAATTAATTTCTCAAAAACTATTGCGAATATCGCAAAACGGCACAGGACTTTCTTGCTCACCTCAATCCGTTCTACGTTCTCACCAAGGGTCATCATGGGACTTCGGGACACCCTGTATATACTTACCTTTTCCAAGTGTATCAGAGTCGATACTATGGCGCACCTCAGCATATTGAATACCTCCGACTGTTGCCAAAGTACTGGCAGATATGTGCTGAGTGCAGCGATATAAGGCTTGATTTTGCTACCAACGCGCTCAATAATAAACGACAGTACAAATAATACGTGCATCTGAAAAATAAAATTTTTTAAATGCGACATAAAAATATGAATGTTGAGGATGAACGACTCTGTGACATAACCATATCTCATTAAAAAAATGAGTAAGTGAATGAGTGTGGCTTTGTTTCCTCAAAGCAAGTCCTCAGGACTTATAATATAATTTAAAAATATCATAATTATATAATCATATGATATTATATGATAAAATATCATATAATTTAAAAATCATATAATTTAAAAACAATTATAGTTGTATATGGTAGCGCATATGTGTTAGTATGACTTATTTTGTCGGTCGTAGCAGAACCGACATTAATGAGTTTATATAAGATATAATCATTTGCATCTAAAAATTTTGACGATAGAGAAAGCCAATGAAGCGAGTTAAAAAGTATGCGCATTCGAAATTAATTTATTTACTGTATCTTTAGTAAATTTGACCGCCGATTTAGTAAATTTAAGCTTTTATGTACCTTCGTGTCGCACTCATTTACTTCTTTAAGAAGAGCAAAGAGCAGCGAACATGCCGGTTCCAGGAAAATGGCAAACTCCTCCGAATTGAATTGGAAGTCATCAATCACTTTTTTTAAGGCATCGCTTGCGGCTAACCGAACGCCCAAATCTTCCGTGGGATTCAGCGCCTCTACCATGAGCATGTACACATCTGGTCTGTATTGCGCGCTCAATTTGATACCTGCAGAAAATCGAATTCAGAAATATATATTCGTGGCGTAAACGACTTATATTTTGTTATTGTATCTTTTATCAATTTTCGTGCAATTTATAAAAATTCGCATCGTACTCGTCCATTGGCCAATCAACCAGCATACACGTCTCCTGATAATTCTGTAGTTATTATTGCGGATCTTTAATTCCTCCTTCAGAGTTGTCGAAAACCACTGATCGAAGTTCACCTGTCACACAAAAGAGCACATTGGCTAGATCAATTGAAGGTGTATGCGTGATTCTTGACAATACTATTCGCTTACCTCATCATACAGGTCGAACGCTGCCAGACCAACTGCACGATAAACCGCGTCTTTCACTAAGATCGCATGTAAATTATTAGGATCGACAGGTTGATGATGCTGTCGCATCAGATCAACCAGTACCGATGAGAGAACGTCTCTAAAGTTATGGAATATCACCATAAAGACAGACTCTGTGCATGGCTGCAATGAAATGTGCACTCGTATGAGTAATCGGTCATTATATATTATACATATTATGACTTTTCATTAGTGGTTTACAGTTTGTGACTGTAAACCACTAATGGATATATTCGATCAACTTACGCTCAAGCTATATTTCCATGATTCCCCGCCACCATCATCGATAGCTGCAATAAACATTGTTTCTTGTATATCGGTCAAAATGTGGACTGATGTGACATTAACAAATAATTGACTTATGTAAATACAGGTAAATAATTGTTTATATTCATCTCTGCCCGGCTCTTATAGGCCTTTCTTCATATTGATTTTAATTCATCAAAATCTTTCTCATTCTCTTTATTGTTTCTAAATGTACTTTATAAATCAATTAGAAGACTTATACGTCACATTTCGAGGTAATTTCATCAATGAAAGAGAGTTTAGAATAAAAGCCATAGAATGTATACATGGGAACATGCAAATCGTTTAGATCAATTCACCCGCAGTCTACGATTACACGAATCCGATTTAATAATTTCCTCTGCTGTAACTACTAATGTTATATGTCGTATAAACAATTGTACTATACGACTGTAGCTCGTGCAAATGTAAAGTGCAGTATAATTATATCGATTTTAGACTCCCGTGTAAACGTAGTTACAATTATGTTAATGCTTACCAAAATTCTCCGGCTCGCTGTCCCACAATTCCAGATCCGTGGGTGTTAAGAGGAAATAATGCGTGACAAGTCTGGAGCAAATCTCCGTCAACGTGTCCGGTGTGAAAAATTCTTGCTTTAATTGGTACGCTCTTAACGCTATCGGGTCCTTCGTCTCTGTTTCGATGAAAGAAGATGACATCTCATTATATAAACTATACCTTATTCTATAAACTATAACATAAAATATGTATAATTTAAAAACTATATCTCATTATATAAACGAACTATGTATAAACAAGGCTCTTAGGTATACAATAACCAGTACAAGAGCTAGTGGCTGCCTTTCCTTCACCTACATTTCGTTGTAACGTTGCACGTGTCGCATGGACGAGCGCGACAGTTAAACACACGCATGCAGAGAAATTACACACCTTCAATAATTTTAGCTGGTCTATAGTACGTCGACGTTAAAATATTCTTCACTAGATTTAGACATTGGATAACAAATCTTTCAAATGCTAATGCCTGGCCAGTCTCCGTGAAGCAGTAAAAAACGGAGAATTCTAAGGAAGTCGGTATAAGTTCCACGTAGCAAAACGGGTGCGTTTCTAGTACTCCCAATAAAACTTTGGTCAAATGTATTATAAACTTCTCACACATGTCCATCTGTATGCCTCTCGATGCTAACGTTTTTCCTGGAAAAACAAATAGTACGCACCGTTCATTCACATCTTAAACACGCGTTGAGACTTTAAGCGAAAGTAACGCCGTGAACGAAGCGATTCTCTCGAGATAGGAGGAAAATAGATACTAACGGCACTCGAGAGTGGCCCTCGCACGCTCGAAAACAACTTTTAAAAATAACATGGCATCCTGAGATTCGGAAGGCTTGGTAAAACCGTGTACGATCAGTTGCCTGAGTATTCTCAACAGTAGCAAAGCTTTCTCCAAAGCTTCCTGTATCTGTCTGACGTCGGCACCGTTAGACGCGAGTATCAGGAAAGACTCAGTAAAGGTGTTCCACAGGGTCAGGATGAAGCTGAACATGCTCGCAGCCACCTCACGGAAAACTTTCTGAGCATCTCCCAGACGTTTAGATGCTAAACCTTTAATAACGTGAAGCAATGTTAACAACGCCTGACGCTGTGCCAAAGGGCTTTCCTGTCTTATAACTTCTAACAATGTCGGTACTAATGTACTCCATTCCCTAGGATAGTCAAACCTACGTGACAAACGACGGGATTAGTACGTTGCTTTAGCCACAATATATTGACACATATTGATGCGGCATATCACGTCATACAAATTACCTTCCTATCTTTGCAATCAGAATTGCTAATTGTACAGCTAATGGATTCACAGGTTCCTCCAGATTCGTCAACAGGTGCTGTCGTAAAAATTCTTTCTCATCGGCCTGAATTGCACTAGAGTAATAATATATTATGTAAACACATTATATATATATATATATATATATATATATATATATATATATATATATATACACATATATACATATATATACATACATATATGTATGTATATATTGTTAATAACATTTCACTTAATATTAGGCCTACCAAAGCAGCCAAAATGATGGGTTTGTAATATTTTATAAGAATTACTCAAATTTATAATATAGTACATTTTATATTTTTAATTGACATTGAATAAAGCTAAAGAAAATAAGATTTTTTTGTATTATGTACATTCTCAAAGCTCTGTCATTTTGACCACTCTGATAAGAATAGATTATTAATCATTGGTTGAAATAATATTTCTTCATGTAACAGAAAGCCTCTTACTTTGGAGCATTTACCCTCCAATATTTTTCAACTCCAATTTTTAGATACACTATAGCCATCCATCTAACTTCGATAGCCAAGGAATGATTTGATAGGACATTCTGAAAAAGCAAACAAGAGATTATCTTATCTTATCTGTCTCAGACAAAAGATACATATAATACAAAATAATTCTAGAGAGAGAGATTGGTATTTATCTTTTAACTAAATGTTTTTGCTTGACAGATCCATGTTACGTTCCATAGATGCAGTACGTATATGGAAAACATTGTTACAAAAGCAGTACGTACATGGAAAATATTGTTACAAAAGCAACATATGCAACAAGATTCAATAGGACAAAACTTACATATAATGCTATGTAAAACCCTTGTTGAGTCTCCCATTGTTTCAGAGTTTGCTCTGCTGATTTCAAGATATTGGGGTCTTGGCTGACCGCCTGTTGCAGAACTTCTATCACCCTGGCATCCATGTCTTCCTACTGAACAAAGCTGTTTATGTATTACCTCAGGCAAGATTCTTCCTAATTATCTACGAGCTTATCGGATTCTGACACGTAATAGCTTTTATAATTTTTATTCTATCAATATCCCGCTAATTACGTCAGCATTATCTAGCGCTACGAAACGCGACTATATCGACGACGTGCAATTCATAGTTTCGAATGAAGCAACAGAGACGCGCTGAGCGGCTCACTCGAACGTAATTCCCGAAGGAGCACTCGGTCAAGATTGAGCATGTGGTTGCGGAATGATCCAAGCCCGCAAATCTGCGCAAATAAAACGTGTGCAACGCTAACGCATCGGCCCGAGCGTCGAGTGAGACAACAGGCACCTATACGAACGATCATCAGTTCACGTCATTCTTCGTCGCACGAATCATTTATCGCCGTTCGCTCACTACTGTTCCGGTGTGAGACGTCCTCTCTAACCTGTACAACGCGGTGGTGCAAGCAGGAGAGCGTACGCGGCGCAGAGCGAGCGTATGCGCGCATGAGTTTTCGTTACCTGTCTCGCAATCGGTGTCGCAGACTCTCATTCCGTGTGTTCCATTCGTCTCGAAGGCGAGAGTATTTACGTAGTAAATCGATACATAACAAAAATGCTCCGGCTGGTCTTTCTAGTCTGCTTCGCAAGTCCTACTGTATCACACAACACGCGCGCGTACGTGAAAGAGTGTTGGCACCTATGGAAGCGCACCGTTTTCACCCCTTCGCCGCACTCTATCCTTCCTTCCTTTTTTATTTCTTTCTTCGACTAGCGCTGCACCTTTTTTTCTCTTTCTCACGACTTTCGCCAACCGTCACAGTGCGAGGATAGCAATAGTGACAATTGTCGTTGACTATCGCACGCACGGTGCAGTGCGATGTAATTGGAGGTCTGTTCTTTGTAGTGGCACGTCATTCTGACTCGTTCTATACCATTCATAATAATTCTGTTTTTTTCTCTCTTAAGGTATTTTTACATGGGAGCATCGAGCGTCGAGCGTTAAAGCGGTAGCCAATCAACGTGCCACTTTCCGCAAAAACTACAACTATACTTCTAGAACCTGATACGTTGATTGGCTAACGCTTTAACGCTCAACGCTGGAACGCTCCCATGTATTGGCAGCTTTAGGGTGCTATTTCACGTGTCGTATGACAAGCTTTTCAGATACGTTTATTGGTTGGCGAATAGAGTATTTCTAGGTTCTTTGTTCGTCAACCAATGAACGTATCCAAAAAGCTTGTCGTACGACACGTGAAATATCAGCCTTAGTGTGTTCGATTGGCCCTAGGTTAATCGCTCCGAGAGCGATTAATAACGTCATAAGTCTCTACTAGCCAATCATAAAGCTTATAAGTACTTGTTCGACCAATAAACATAGGCTGAATAACCCAGAGTAGGTTAACTAAAAGCCAGTCGAACATGCTTTTTCATCCGTTGTAGAATTGGATAGTTCACATTTGCATGTCGCGTCGGCACAGGACCGTCTCATTGGCTGTGTATCATCTAGAGATAATATTTTCTGATGAGATAATGGCTAAGATCCATTTGAAGCCACAAACTCCTTAGAGCACGTAAAAAATGGCTATGATTGGTCTTTATAGCGCTTCGGAGTATTTTCAACCTTAAGTAGAATCTACCACTGAGATATCGCAATCGCTAGCTAGGGAGATTATCTAGCATTTTTTATTTCTATTACTAGAATCTGTAGATTTTTTACTAGTGAATTTGCATTCAGTGTGTCCATTGGTTGCTATATTGCAAACCACTGTTCACGAGTTTACGCAGTGATTGGTCATAGCAGCAATTGAAAAGACCGCTTATGCCCGTTTCTACCAACTTTGGTTCACTTAACCGGTTGGTTATTCCAATGGAATTGATCAGTCACATTTTTCCTTATGCCCAATTTCTTCACCTCCAATTAACTTTATCTGCCAGTTATTCTATTGGAATTGGACCAATTATATTTATGATTGGCAAGATTAACCAATCATGGTTGACATTTATCCGACAGATAAAGTTAACCGGAGATGAAGAAATTGGGCATTAAGGCCAAATCACACTAGCGATTGGCGATTGATGATTGACGATTGAAGATTAGATTTTGACGAATCAACGAATTTCAACCTTGGCTTGCTTTGTTCCAATTGGTCAAGTTCCAATCTTCAATCGTCAATCATCAATCGCTAGTGTGATTTGGCCTTTAGTCAAACTTGACACAAGCATTCCACAGTTTTCACTCGTAATTACATCCGCTCTCGTTCCGCGCTCCGCTATTCCGCTGCATGGGTTTGCACCCTAATAGGTGTAGTAAGCTTTAAGCTTTAAGAAATTGACTAATCACAGTGAAATTATAGAGGAATAATCAATTGTGATTGGTTAATTTCTTACAGCTTAAAGCTTACCACACCTATTATAGATCGGGACTAATCGCCGTTATATTAAGACGTATTCGAACACATTCGGATCTGTGATCTTTTGAGAAACATATTTTTTGGTACCTTAATGAAAGAGCTGCAAAGAAAGGTCTGAATTAGAGATGTCCGATTCTTAATCGATTTGATTCTTTCCCTAACAAATTTAGGGAAAAAGGATTGTTCGTGCTGCTTGCATGTTTCATACTTTTCGCTTTTAAAAAGAGATGGACGCCTAATCAGGCGCTTGGAAGAAACAATCGAGTTGGTTGTCTCGTTTTGCTTCTTCGAAACATTCCAATATACTTCTGTCTAGTTTTAAACACAAAAAATGTGAAGAGTGCAAACAACACAAATAAGCCTATTTTTGGGGAAAGAATCGAGTCGATTCAGAATCGGGCATCTCTAGTCTGAATCCAAGTAAAATAACCAGAGACAAAAGAGAGACAAGAAACAACTTAGGCCTGGTTGCACCAACATTATTTTGGCTTTAAGCGAAATTTAAACATATATCTATCTTTATCTTTCTTTCAAAATAAATAAAAACAGACACGCGTATATTTAAGTCTCGCTTAAAACTAAAATAACGTTGGTGCAACCGGGTTTTAGTGGCAACCATGAAGAACAGACTTTTCGGAGCAGATTACTACCGTCTCTCTCTAACCAAGTCTTCATGGCCGCTCTCGTTAACTTTCAATCTACTCGCGCTAGTTCACAGATTCCACCAATATCAGACGATTGAAGGAACGATCGACCGTGTTGACGAAAACAGCGAGTCGAGACTCGCGCTCTCGTTCCTATGCGCGCAGTCGAGCATAGGCGTATATATGCGGTCCCGTGACTCACCTCTCGTTGTACACACACAAACACCGTGTGCGTATGTACGCGCGCGAGTTTCCTAGCGCCGCTGCGTAAAGGCTGGTTAAGGCCGCACGCTGCACAAAATCGCAAATAGACTCGCTGCCGTCGCGACAGCACAGAGGCAGACGTCCACGTTCGTTCGTTCGTCGTGCGTGCATGCGTACGTACGTACGTCGTACGTGAGGAAGCTCTCGCGGAGAGAGCCTTCATGTGACACGTATACACACACGCTCGCTCACTCTCCTCGCCACCATAGCAGCCGTAGCCGCGCGCAGAGAGGAGCCGTCGAGAGAGAGGAGTTCTCGAGAGCGTGTTTCGCACGCGCATGTTTGAGCCGCGAGCGAGACGCCCGCTCATACACCACCGCTCGGACCACTTTTGCATGGTAAGCGAGCCGAGAGAATGTAGATAGGTTAGAATCCTCGCCTCGTAACTTCGCGGGCGCACGCGCGAAACCAGAGCTGTGTGCGATCGGGGGACTCGACTCTCTCGGTCGATTGTCATCGATGGCTCGTCGCCGTCGCCGTCGCCGCCACTTGGAGATCTCCCGCGTGTTTTAAGGCGTACCCTCAAGCTGCTCGGAAGTATGGCACAAAGCGACGTCTTCGTCAGGTCAGGTGACTCGACAGACTCGGTCGGGCATCGCCGAGCGGAGATAATCGTTTTTCGAGGTTAGGACGCCTCAGGGCCGATTAACTGCCTAAGCCTCTTCGCGATTTACCTCGCGATCGCGCACGCGACGGCGACTTGCTCGCGCGTGTCTCCGAGTCGATCGCATCGCGAGATTGCCCACGGAGGAGGTCGTCCTTGCCAACGACACAACCGCGACACGATCGCGGGACACTGATGACGTCGAGGGTACGTTGCGCCGTAGCCGCTACACGTACGACTCTGACGTAGTCGGGAAGTGTTTGGAGTCTCCGCAGATCCGAGAGGTAGATACTTCTCGTGAATAATGTTACGCGGCGATAAGCTACGTTCGTGCCTGCTGAACTTGTGCCTGCAGTCTATCGAGTATCCTGCGAGTCGTGACATTGACGGCTCAACCGTGTCTGATGCTCCAGTTTTATCAACTTCTTATTTCTCCCATTATATGCCCTGATGTGATCATTTCTCATTGCAAATTTCGAAAACTGATCGTTTCCGCGTGTCTGTTCTTGTGTTTCTCATGATATGCTTTTTACGTATGACGCACAAACAGGTTATGTACTTGTCATACGACACACATATATAGGTATTTCGCATACGACTTTCTGTTGGTATGAAAGTCAGCTCTTTCTTGTATTTGCTAGAAATAATTATCGATATCTCTGTCCACTCTTTTTGCGTTTTTACCAGTTGCAAACGGTAAGCGCAGAGGAGCATCTAATTCAATTAAGCAGTTAAATTTTACATTTGTGAGAAAGTCACTTCTCATTCATTCATTCTGGAATTTCATTCATGAACGTTAACTGACAGTGGAGGATAACAAGGATTATCTGTTTTTTTTGGTGTTTTGCAAGGTGCACATATTGTAAGCAAACATGCCTCTGTTTGGAAAATCTCAGAAGAGCCCGGCGGAAGTGGTGAAGGCTCTGAAGGAGGCGGTAAATGCGTTGGAGCGCGGCGACAAGAAGGTAGAGAAGGTACGTTGTTGTGGATACGCATCGGTTTCTACGATGAAATACATCCCGTTTTAGGCGCAAGAAGACGTCAGCAAGAATCTTGTGCACATTAAAAACATGCTGTACGGCACGGCCGAGACGGAGCCGCAAGCGGACATCGTAGTGGCACAATTAGCGCAGGAGTTGTACAACAGCAACCTATTACTTCTGCTTGTGCAAAATCTGAGTCGTATCGACTTCGAGGTACGCCTGTCTCATGCCTGCCCCACATGCGACAATTCAATCGCATTCTGCCAATGACACACATTCTTTGATGTACACAAAGGATATGCAAAACTAGTAGGAAGGGTGTTACAAAATTAGTGCGTTGAGAGAAAAAATTTCAGAGATGTTTCTCAGTAGGTACTAAAGTAAACAACATCTATATAAATTTAAATTCTTTTATTTAAATAGAATAAACAATCACATTCATGAAAAGTTAAGATTTTAAGAAAATATATATTTTCTTGTTTGAAAAACACTTTATATGTGTATGTATTAATATAAGTATTATTCGCAGAATATTTTTTTATTTCTTAGATATTTTTTCCTTTCACAACATAGAAAAATAGGAAAGATGTTACAAAATTAATGCACTGAGAAAAATTTCAAAAATTTAAACAATATTTATTTGATAGATATATATTTAGTTGTAAATTCTTTTATTTGAATAGAATAAATAATTACTTTAATAAAAAGATAAGATTTTAAGAAAAAAATATATTTTCTTATCTTAAAAATATTTTATATTGTATATTATATTTTATATTAGTATAAGTGAGTATGTATTTAATACTTACCGATACTTTTTATTTCTCAGATATTTTTTCTCAGTGGAAGAAGGATGGTACATAATTAGTTAAAAAGGATGTTGCAAAATTAGTGATTAATATATTCATTAGAACGAACGTGATAAAATCCTGGCTTTGTAGTTTAAAAAAACTCTAGTCGAAGGTTTTGCTTACGTTTTCCCGAAAGTACACGAGTTGTAAATGGCAATTATTATCAGCATTGCTTTCTGTTTCTGATCAAGGGTAAGAAGGATGTCGCGCAGGTTTTCAACAACATTCTGCGGAGGCAAATCGGGACTAGATCGCCCACAGTAGAGTACATATGCACCAAACCTGAAATTCTCTTTACGCTTATGTCTGGGTAAGTTTCTATCCTCTCTTATTTCAGTATTAACAAAGATACCAAAATAATATGTCTGCCAATGCTCACGTACGCTTCGTTTCGCAGTTACGAACACCAAGACATCGCGCTCAATTGTGGCACTATGTTACGGGAGTGTGCGAGATACGAGGCATTGGCTAAGATTATGATTTATTCGGACGATTTCTACAATTTCTTCAGATACGTTGAAGTCTCTACGTTCGATATCGCATCCGACGCTTTCTCTACGTTCAAAGTACGTCCCGCTCTATCTGCAAAACGAAAAACATGAGAAATTATTTGGGTTTCTTATTCTCACAATCAATTTATGTCGCTCGAACGTTCAGTAGTCGTTTAATTAAAATATTCTATCAGATGTTCTCAATTAAATATTTTTTAAACATTAATGTGTGTTGATGTTACATCTCTGATACATATAACTTAATTGTGTCACTATATTTTTCCTCAGGAATTACTTACGAGGCACAAGATACTCAGCGCCGAATTCTTAGAGATAAATTACGATAAAGTTTTCTCACATTATCAGAGGTTACTCAATTCGGAAAACTACGTAACACGACGACAGAGTTTAAAGTTGCTGGGTGAACTGCTGCTCGACAGACACAATTTTACTGTAAGTACGGTGACGTAAGCAATGTCATCTCATTGTCCTTACGATTCATACTAGGGAAATTTCTGAACATTTTTTTATATATATAAGTACAGAAAAATTTTCTGACGTTTTACATTTTTTTCAATATGAATAATTTATTACACCTTTATTTATTAATTTATTTATTATCATACATTTTTCATTAACAATTTATTACATTAATATACAAAAGCTTTCGAAAACAAGAATCATTTGTGTAAAACAAAATTACAAAATAATAGGTATAATCTATAATATTGTTCATATAATGTTAGATAAGTGCGCTTATATTAAGGCAAGTTGATTGCCAAGCAGTTGAGTGAGATTGCTTAATTTGTCGACGATTAGAAACATTCAAATAATATAAACAACGATATTTAAAGTAGGTAATCTTCGATAACATTTCACTACAATAAGATGTACATTATGACAAACATAGAAATCGTATATAAAACGTATGTATACTTGTGGTCACATTATTGGAAGTAATCTTTATACCGGAAATGTTCCAGGTCATGACACGATATATATCGAATCCAGATAACTTAAAGCTGATGATGAACATGCTAAAGGAGAAATCTCGTAATATACAGTTCGAGGCTTTCCATGTTTTCAAGGTATGCAACACTCCGTACAATCTAATTCACAAGTTTGTAATTTGTTACTTATATATAGAGTTACAAATATATATTTTGTATTAGATATATGTATTTGTAACCATATATCTATGTAAAAAATCAGGTGTATGGACACGTACATGTACATTGCGCTGGTATTAATTTTTTATTAACTTTTTACCAATTTTTAAATATTCGGTACCGTGATAAAACTATCCACGATCCCTTCTTCGATTCCTACAATTATATTCCGTATAGATAAAAAAGATCAATCTATGGTGCAGAGTGTTAACAACGATTTCGATTCTGCTTAGGTATTTGTCGCGAATCCGAACAAGCCGAAACCGATCCTGGATATATTGCTCCGCAATCAGGAAAAGCTGATAGAGTTCCTGACGCGCTTCCACACGGACCGTTCCGAGGACGAGCAGTTCAACGATGAGAAGGCGTATCTGATTAAACAGATCAAAGAACTTAAGTCTGTACATGATAATTAAGTCAAAGAAAATACAATTATTGCTACCGCTATGACTAACTATCACTATAATTATTATTACTATCGAGTCTACTGCTGCTGTTGCTAATTGCGGTTTTATTACTATTACACAGTTATAATTTATCGTCGTCACTTTCATCGTTATTACTATCATTATCGTTGTCGTCGTCATCGTTCTCATCATCATCGTCATTATTATTATTATATTATTATTAATTTTATTTGCGAGTAGCACTGTAAATAAAGATTAAATTTATCTTTTATTGTATCATACGCACATAAATCAAGTTATCATCGTTGTCAGTGTTCTGCCACGTTTTTAGGAATGAGTCGGTTATTAAAGCAGAATGAAAACTTAATCGTTTTGACTTTTTTGCGGCTTCCGTCGAAAGATCATCAGTTTTTTAATTTGTATCTTTTAGCGGGTATTTTTTTTTTATTTATCGCTATAAATGAACAAGTGCAGAAAATGGAAATTTGTTTTAATGTTTATCATAAAATTACTAACCTTAAAAATTAATAACATGTATTGGTCTTATTGATAATAGCTGAAATAGCGGCATTCATATCAGTGAACTGGAGCGTGCTGCCTTGATCAGACTCGCAGTTGGAATATAGTTTCTCGAGTTTCTTTGATTTTTTAAATTTAGCTATTGTCGTGGCCTTTGAGACCTTCTGTTGAATGTTTTTCAACAGCCAGTTGATGTCCAAACGCGTCATCATAGCCTGAAAGTCGGAAATAACGACAGAGGATTTTTAAGTGTCTAAGTATGTATACACACATAGAGAAATCTAAGAATATACAAATTTATGATGTATGAGTTACAAGAGCTTAAGAATTTTTCAAATTGTAAATTTCAATTAAATTAACCAGAATATACCTTCAAGTAATCTTCATCTTCGCTAAGGAGCCATATTAAAGTGGCACAGTGCAAGAATACTTCCTTGTCTTTCAACGCATCGCTTAGGAGCTTCACTAACAACAGCGCATGCTTTTGCTGCAATCAATGCAAAAGTTTCTCTTGGTTTCTTTCTTTTTTGCAGACAATGGAACAGATCAGACGAGAGAAAAGAGATCATCAGTCCCCGTCAACTCACCTTGACGATATACATCTTCGTGTAGGAGTATTTTGCGAGGGTGATGAGGATACTGCATGCTCGCTGACAGACGGTCATCCACGGTTGCGACCTGTTGCGCTGACTTAATGTTTTATAAATCTCGTCGACTAAGTTCAGCTGGCAGAGGGTCACACAAATCGTAGGTGATAATTTCGTTATAGCATCTATGCATGATACAGACACAATTAATGCATATTATTCACACTAGTCAGTCTGTTTCGACTGCCAAAACTTTGTTCGAGAAACGACACCGCATGATTGATATTTCCAATGACACCAATATCTATTCGAAAATTGGAACAAAGTTTGTTGATGTCGTGTTGGAAATATCAATCATGTATCATTTCTATCATTCAATCAGGTATCATTTCTTGAAATTTTCAATTGCAAAATCCTCACTTAACTCTGAATTTAAATCTTAATATCGCACTTGAGACGAATTTCAAATAATGGCTATTAATACACATCTAAGAATACAAGTTATGTGATATTGCTTGTTAAACAAAGATACAACACTCACCCAGACTGTTGAGACAAGTGAGCAAGGCCCCAACATTATTACAAGTACGCAATATGTCGATTATTTGTTCCCAATAATCGCTGCTCGGAAGTATACTGCTGCCAACTTCCTTCTGAGCTGATAGACTATCTTTATACGCATTCTGAATGTCCATAACGATCAAAGCGAGATCTTCCTTTTGTCTCAACGATTCTGCCTCGATCTTCTTCTGCCTATACCGACGCCAATACACCTGGATCGTCAACGCGGCGCATTTCGCATCGTTAAACCACCTCACCGCGATTCTCATCCTGTAATACGACTGAATAACAATTGCGGCTCTCTGACAACGGACGAATCGTCTCCTCGCCACAAAGGTTCTCCAAAGAGTCTGCACGAGGATCACGCGTTTCCGAATGTCTTCGTACTCTCTCCTAACGAGGCTACCAGCTTGGATCGCGCGCCACCTCCTTTGTACGGTGATCGCACAGCTTCTATATCGTTCATAGCATCTTTTGATCCGGATCATTCGCCAATAAGACTGTAAAATAACGCATGCCATTCTCTTTGCTAGAAATCGTTGGCGGTCCCGACAAGCCAGGGCGGTCCCGAGATGTCGACGCCATTCAGTCTGCAGGATAACGATTTTCTGACGAAGTTTTTGGTATTTCCTGCGTTCTTCACGCGCAAGTAACACTGCGCGCCACCAGGTCTGTATTCGCGTTGCCGCGTCCCTCATCCGCAAGTAGTTTTCTCGTGCGATCCTCCCAGCCTTGACGCGAAGGTACCAGGATTTTATCAGCGACACCGCCCGCCGCTGCGTCATGTAACGCTGTCGTTCTCGCCACCATCGTTGTAGTTTCATGCAGGAGAATCTCTGCAGCTGATACTTGCGCGAACACAACGCCGCTCTCCACCACGTCTGTATTCTCAAGCAAGCGTTCTGTCTTTTTTGTTCCCGCATATAATACACCCTCCACGTTCTCTGGATGAGGACCACGCTTCTCCTGCAGCGGAGGAACCATTCACGTTTTTCTCGCATGAGCTTGCTGGATCGCCACCAAGACTGTATTCTCACTGCGGCGTTTGCACGTGCTCGTAGTAGCTCTGCGCGCCGCAGCCTCATCATTCTATTTGTTCTCCAGCGCGTCTGGATCATTAAAGTGGCATTCCTCAAATCACGATACCGTTTGTTGTATGTCCTCATCAGCAATGTGGCTCGCCATCTTCTCTGCAACGTGAGCCCCGCTCTCCGACGTTTATCTTCCAATTCGCGGCATTTCTTCATGCGCACGCTGTCTCGTATTTGTCTCCACCATCGCTGCAAGTATGTCGCAGCTTTCTTGGCGCGCAAAAAGCTCACTCGTTCCTCGGTGACTACTGTCTTCGAGCATCGCAGTCTCCACGCACGTTGAATTACGATCGCCGCGTAATCTCTGCGTGCACATAGATAATACCTCAGGCGAATGCGGCATACTCGTGACCGCCACCATCTCTGGATCGTACAGGCTGCCTGGTCGAACCGCGGTGCCTGGATCTTGTGAACGATCTGCCACAAAAGCGACAAAGTCTTCGTGCGATTGCCGTCGACAATGTATTTGGCCTCCACGCCGTCCGCGAGGACTCCGCCGGCTTGACGCAACGCATTTAACGCTACCTCCACGTTGTGCACTTTCTGTAGACGCGAGATCGCCGGTGCTCTGCACTGTCCAATGAGCCCGTCGACGCCGGTGATCAGCTCGACGACGCGACACAGTCGTACGCCGTCGCGCAAGTCTTGTCGTATGTCCGTCACCTCATACTCGTATTCATCAATATAGGTCTGCTGATGCGTTAGCACGTAATTGTAGACGCGCAAGATTTTCGTCACGTCGCCGATTCCGGCAAGGAGATCGCGCGAGAAGCATAACAGGATCTCGCGGCTTGTCTTCCACGCAGCCTGCTTGCGGAACAAACATGGGTCATGGGCGATCAACTTGCGCTTCTTCGCGTAGTCCAAGAAGTATACCAGGAGAAGAAACTTTTTCAGTATAAATTGATTGAGCGCCTTAAGGAACTTCTTGTTCGGGTTGGCCTTGTGGTAACCTGGGATCTTCGTCAGTTGCGGGTTCGTGAAGAATCGTTCGGTTAGGAAGCGAGTGAGGCCAAACAGGTCATTGTTGTTGCGCAGGGAGATGCTCTCGTTGTACACGGCCTCCAAGCCGATGCGCAGCCACAATGGATTGTAGCACAGAAACACGTTCAGCACATCTTTCTGCAAGCCTGTCATATACACACAATACGTTAGACATTTTGCTGGACTCCTTGAAATCTTATGTTATTTATAATGCCGTTGCTGTTGTCAATTACATTTGTTTAGGACTAACTTGATAACAGCATTCTTCTTATATTTTTCTTTCTTAGTTAACGAATGAATGCACAACTACATGGAGAGAACAAGATAGTTTTACTCACTGATATCCCGATGTAAATCACGATCCGGTCTGATGTACAACATCTCCTCGGTGACACACTTGTCGATGCGCAATTTCATTTCCTTGATCTCGGTGCGATGAAGCATGGCGTACGCATCATTTCGTAACGTCTGCAACCTTTTAGCCGTGTGATGACTGAAAATAATTATTAGTCGTTGAATTAATCGACTTCAATTGCGCTCGGAATCAGATTATATCGCAACTCTAATGTAAATGTTTCTTTTTTGTATACATTATTAACATATTGTACCTGGTGGGTACAATTCCCTGAGTTACAGCTGGCTCATTATCAACCATCTCTTCGTCACGATTCTTTCGTGATTGCCACTTATCAATAGTGTCTGTGATCGCGTTATCGATGTTGACGCGCAAGTCTTTCGGCGTAGACAGCACAGTGTTCAGCCACAATGTAAACATTACTTCTTGCCGCGACAACCACTTCTCGTTGAAGGTGCTCGCCGTGCTGTTGCAACAGAATTAATCAGATTAACGATATTAAATCGAGTGATTTCACGAGCAACTGTCCAAGAAACTAATTCATTTTTTGATATGTAATAAAGGCGATTTACAGTTGAATATTATTGACTATTGGCTTTCATATGTGCACGCAATGAACGTAACATATAAATAGTATACGCTTATACGGCGCTGCATGAACGTAAAAAGATGTAATATCTAAATTGTGATGTAAATCATATTTAAAATTCGTAACACGTGTTAGTATAAAATTAATGTGAAGTTACTACATATGAAGCACAGATTGTAAACAGACTTACTTTTTGAGAAATGGATTTTCCGTCATGGATGACGTAAAGGGATTCTGCATGAACACTTCGTAGACGGAGATTTCCTCGACTTGCGATTTCGTTACTCGCGTAGTTGACGGGATGCATTTCTTCACTTGGCGCAAGGTGCAGAGAGTCGACTTGTTTATCTTGATGACTGGTACACTTCTCTTCGGAATCTTTTTTGCTATTATAACACACACACACACACACACACACACGTTATCAGCTCAATATTACTGAAAAATTAAAAAAAGAATGTCTTACAAAACTATAACTCACTCGTAACGGGTGTGAACAGCTGGAGTCCCTTTGCGTTGCACAAATTCTTTTCCTTCGTAACTCTGCCGATTTTCGCATTAAACAGCGGCGCATACGGCTTGGAGTGGTATTTTCTCGGCGGGGAAATCTCGATGTAAACATCACCCGCTTTCTTGGCGATTTCGATGTCTCCTCTAGGAATAGTCGCGCAACTGAAATAGTCGCAATCGATTCGGGGGTTGCAATTTACATTATCTACAAAACACCCGGAACGTTCAGTTCTTGGTGCATCGTTGCGCGATCGCTGAAGAATCGGCGACGACGCGATCAAATTGTTCACTCCGTCTTTAAAAGACGACTCGCAGTAGTCCAGGGGTCGCGTTACCGGCGACAAAACGACTTCTGGAACAGAAATCGCGGATGCATCGAAGGTTTGATGACCGACAGCGAAAGTCTTGTTTTTTTCGTCGCGAGCTTCCTCGACGTTCAGTGATTCCGTGGATTCCTGCTTCACAGGTCGCGGGGAGATCGTGACTACGCTCGTAGCTGTGAATTTCAATTCGTTTATCAGCATGGAGAAATTCGACTCGCTCTGATTTCCGGCACATGCAACATCTTCAACCACCTCCTCACTGTGCTCGTATATCGTCGTAACGTTATTGCAGTGCCTTTTCTCCTTAACGTACGTGGCTCTACGTATCTCCTGTGGCGCACTTGAAGCGAGAAAGGATTGCGACAACACGCTCCCGTCGCTCCACACGTTTGAATGCTGCTCAGATAAAATATTCGTTGGCTCGTGATAGTCATGATGATGAAGTCTCGCGCCTCTGTCGTCCTCTCGCGATGTATAAATCTTCACATCATGATATTTGTTTAGGATATTCTCCTTGTTCGAGCTGTTCTCATGTTTTGGCTTATCTTCTCTTATTTGTTTATTGACATTGGCAAACAAAGGTTGCTCAATGTTGCTGGAAATACTTAATAATGTATTGCCTTGATGAAGTCGTTTGTTTACAGTGGGTGCAGAAAAAACAGATAGTTGTGATAATGTTGCTTTCTTCGATGGTCTCTTCTGTGTCTTTCCTTTATTCGCCTTGGCAGTTGTCACTATAGTAATGTCATACTTAATTCTTCTATTGTCAGTGAATTGTAAAACATCTCGCCAGCAACCTGCTTCTATAGGGAACCATCTGATGGATACTGTGCCACTGCTCTGTTCAGGGATTTCTAATTTGTTCACATTCAGAGTGATCTGACGTTTTGCATCTGGTACTTTTGTCACAGTTACCTAAAAGTCATTATTGCATCATTAAGTCGTAATTATATCGTAATTGTAAATAAAAATACATCTTAAATCATTATTGAAGCAAATAACATAAAGTAGTAAAAGAAAATTCTTGACAATAAAAAATTGTTCTTAGCAGAGTTGTCTACCATATCATGATATATGAACAACCTCTGACATAAAACAAATAGATATTCCACTTAAGGAATACATTCCTCTTACATTTAATGTCTTGTCAGATGGATTTTTTATGTCCAAATAGCATTCCATGATAGTACTTAAATAAGCCTCTAGTTCAATCCTTATCGTTGGTTGGAACGGAGCAAGTAACAGTGTAAAACGTGTCTGCTTATCCACAGATTGAAATAACTCCATCTTGTATAACTTATCAAAAAACTGCAAAGCAGATGCATTACACTATACGTTACTTGATTTATTAAATATTGTAACACAGAAATATATTATTATTAATAATTAATAACTTATATAAAAAAACAAAATGATTATTTATTCAACTGTTTCACATAAACCAAATGTGTACAATACTTTGAAGTACTTTTACGCAATTTTATTTTTTCAATTTTTTTATTTTTTACTCTTTCAATCGCAAATAATGCTAATAATATAATAGAAAATACCTCTTTGTATTGTATCACAGATTTTGTTGCACGTTATTATCACGTTATTTTTACTTTTATAGCTTCTTAAATTAAAATATCACACTCCTGGAATTTTATTTTCAAACGGAAAGTGACCATCATATGATCTGCTAACTGAAATAACGTACTTCCCTTCTTTCTCGCCCTTAATCCGTAAATATCCAACCTGAACTAAGATACAACATTGCACATCTATAACGAACTTCTTCAATTCAAACTAGCATGTATAAGAAATTTTTTGACATGCGCAGTAGATGCTTCGGGCAATCCTTAAAAAAAATTTGCTGTTTTTATGTTTCTTTAGTCCCGATCCACAATAGGTGTTGTAAGCTTTAAGCCTTAAGAAATTGACCAATCACAGTCGATTATTCTCTTCAAATTTGATTGTGATTGACCAATTTCTTAAAGCTTAGGGCTTAAATCATCTATTGTAGATCAGTACTGGAATTCTGTAATGGCTTCTGCACACAGGACGCGGTAATGTTTGCCGCGCGGCGGAAGTCCGCGCGAAAGCCAATCAATATGCTGCTTTCTGTAATAACCTTCTAACTCTAGCTACTTCTGATTGGCTGTTGCAACAAGAGTTGCAATCGACCTGCAACTAATGTAGAACGGCTTAATAGAGCGAAGAATAGATATTTAGTAATTTACACTAGCAAGTCGCTTCTCATGTGAACACCAAAAAAATGTACTGATTGATTGTCGACTAGGAAATTTCCTGAATCCTAAAGCAAGTTGTCGGGACTCCGAAAGTTCCCTATCTGTCGGCCAATCACACACCCGACAAAATTGCCATATGTCAGCTGGTCGATCATAAATCTTTTCCCCTAGTGTGAGTTCGTGAAAAGTGAAAATTTTCTAATGTAAAAGTATATAGAAATGTTCACTTTTCACGAGTTCACGTTAGAGAAAAAGATTCATGATTGATCCCCAGATGAAATAATCATCTAACTTTATGTTTACTCTAAATCTGCAGTCTGTTCTTTTCAGCTGCACTGCTGAACTGGTGCAATAAGTTAAAGTGAGACACGTATATGTTTCCTCACTCTAACTTATTGCACCAGTTCAGCAGTGCAACTGAAAAGAACAGACCACTAAATTGTTTGGTGCCGCCACTGCGAATGAGTCAAGACGATTCTCTCGGGGCGATCGCGAATATCCCGCCAGCACGGGGGATCAGTACCGCGTCAATTTAGTTTAGGTGGGATCCCACACGTTCTTCCTCGTCAAATGCACCGACCACGACAATCACAAAAGTGAGACACCGAGTGAGACGTTCCGACACCACCGTGATCGGTAGTTCGTGAGTATCGCGCATTCACACAACCTCACGTATATTCACTTCGCTCTTATTTTTGTCCTTTGTATACTTATCTGATAGCTACTTGACAATATGTTCTCCCTGTGACATCAGAGCTGCCAGAGAATTCGTTGACAACCTCTAACACAAATTTTTCCTTTCTGGCGAAGGAACTTCCACATCAGTCTTTCACCGGTACTGTACGATGGCCGATTCCAGTGACTTGGATCGGCAAATCGAGCAGCTGAAGAAATGTGAGATCATCAAGGAAGCGGAGGTTAAGGCCTTGTGTGCCAAGGCACGTGAGATTCTCATCGAGGAAAGCAATGTCCAGCGCGTCGACTCGCCCGTGACAGTAATTATTTCTATTTCTCCTAAGCAAAAAGAGTGGTTCTGTTGCTAAAGATAGAACATCAGAAACACTTGAGCAACTGCAACTGTTTGGCTTTTAGGTTTGTGGAGATATTCATGGACAGTTTTACGATTTAAAGGAATTGTTCAAAGTAGGTGGTGATGTGCCAGAAACGAATTACCTTTTTATGGGTGATTTTGTCGATAGAGGTTTTTATAGTGTGGAAACGTTTCTCCTCCTTCTTGCATTAAAGGTATGCCAGCTAAAGGACTATTATTTATTGAAATTTGAGTATGAGAAAAAATAGATCATTTCTGCTGTTATTTTTTTATATTTGAATAAAATTTAATCAAAAAAAAGCAATTCAAGATTTACCGATAGATACACAATTTTTAAGAGTTTACTTATATGAATACATGCATGTATGCAACATTTCAGTATCAGTATCTTTATCAATAAATATTTTTACGAATCTACTATTAATAGATGATTCATAAGATTTGCTGAGCCTTTGTTATCTTATAGTCTTAAAACACATATCTTATCGCAGGTTCGTTATCCTGACAGAATCACATTGATAAGAGGAAATCATGAATCTCGACAAATAACACAAGTTTATGGCTTTTATGACGAGTGTTTACGCAAATATGGAAGTATAACAGTATGGCGATATTGCACAGAAATATTTGACTACTTGTCATTGTCTGCTATCATTGATGGTAAAATTTTCTGTGTTCATGGTGGATTGTCACCTAGTATTCAAACATTGGATCAAATTCGGACTATAGATAGGAAACAAGAAGTGAGTACATTATTTGTATATTATTTACCTAGATTAGGTTATTATAATTCAATAATTTCCGTACAATTCAGGAGTATGCTTCCACATTTTAAAATTAGGATTATTATTTTAAAATGTGATTTATATTTATGTTATAAATATATAAATATGTAATATATGTGATCAGATCTTCAAATCTCACACTATTCTTATCAAAATCATAAGTTATAATAAATTATTTTGAAATATAATTTCATACACATTTGTGTTATAAATATATAAATATATAATATACATATGACAGATCAGATTTTCTTTCTTTAATCAGATCTTCAGGTCTCACACTATTCTTATTAAAATTATAAGTTAAGTTAAAGTCTCATTATTGTGCTTTAATACAAAGTTTTCTGATTTGATCATATAGGTTCCTCACGATGGACCGATGTGTGATTTGCTGTGGTCAGATCCTGAGGACACCCAAGGCTGGGGTGTATCACCTCGTGGAGCAGGTTATCTTTTTGGTAGCGACGTCGTCGCGCAATTTAATTCTGCAAATGACATTGACATGATATGCAGAGCACATCAGTTGGTGATGGAGGGCTATAAGTGGCATTTCAATGAGACAGTGTTAACAGTCTGGTCCGCGCCGAATTATTGTTACAGGTATGTAATCTTTATGGTCACGATATATTGGGCAGTATTCATAGAATCTTATATTTAAGATTGTCTCAAGTCTATCTTCAGATCTTGTATGGATCGTTTCATTAGCTGCGGAAGATCTGAAGTCTAATAAACTTGAGACGATTTTGAGGGTTCTCTGGATAGTTTGTAGGTATGAGTTAAAAGTTTTTTTTTTTAAGATTTTTTTTTACAAAGACAAGATTAATTTTTGAATTTATCAGTATGTTTTCATCATGTTTTGAAAGTTACATGAACTTTTTCCAGTGACCGATGAATTTATCTTAATATGTTTAATATGTCATGTTTCTTTTTCCTTTTGTATACAGATGCGGTAACGTTGCCGCGATATTGGAGCTCAATGAGCATCTGCAAAGAGACTTCACGATATTCGAAGCGGCGCCACAAGAAAGCCGCGGAATTCCCAGCAAAAAGCCGCAGGCCGATTACTTTTTATAAACAAATAATTTTTAGAGTACAAAAAGAAACCATCATCGTCGAATCGACTCGGGATCTCCGTCTTCTGTTTCTCCTCCCCGATCTACCTTGGTCTCATCCTCTCCCAGAGCAATTTTCGTGAAGGATACGACTTGCTATTTCTTTTTTATAGCGTTATATCATTTGTGACTTGATCGTTGATGATAATCGCATAAGTATCTGAAGAGAATCATAATGATATGTGTAAGAAACTGATGTAAAATAAAGTATAACTTGCCTCAAGATTTAAAAAGATGTGATATATCATCATTCAAGTCAAGTATTGCCGAAAGAATCGTATCTTAATTGCGTTTAAGGTTTCTTAAGCGTTAAAGAGAAAGCTACTTTGAAGGTAAATTCAATTCGAACGTTTATTGAATACAAAAGAGCTTTTAGAATATATTTTTCAAGGTTCACACCTGTTTTGAAATTATATCTCATGATAAATGTGCGAATTTTTAACTCGCGCAAGTTTTAAGTTTTATTAAATGCAATCTCATCTCTTTTTAAAACTCAGAGTTTGACACAAACTAATTTCCAAAATATTAAACAACCGCGATATAATTCTGTCTGCGAATACATGAGCATATCCAATGGAATAATTTATTTTCCAGGGTTGCATTCTAAACATTTTTTTTTTGAGCAAAAAATTTTGCTGACAATCTATAATCCACGTTACGCGTATACTATGGATTTTCACCAAAAAAGATAAGAATTTTAAAGTGCTTTTACATAGGAGCGTCGAGCGTCAAGCGTTGAGCACATGCGTAGTAATATAGTAATAGTGAGTTGTTGCTGAAACGCAAGATTAAGGCGAGTTTTTTAATTCATCGATGGATCCATTGCATGGTACGTAAATACAGCGAAACATTGCATTTGCGCATCATGCGATGGATCCATCAATGAATTAAAAAACTCGACCTTAATTTGATTGCATACTGAACTGTCAGTTGAATTTCGAGACAGTTATCAGCAATTCAAAAAAAATTATAAGACATTACAAAATGTCTATTGATTATCGGCATTATTTGTAGTTATTAAAATGCAATAACATTATCAGTAATAAATATTACAAACAAAACGTGAAGTTAATTGCATTAATATCACTAATTGCAAATGCAATATGAGCAAAACAAAAAAAAAGTTTTGGGTGTTACAAATATTCGCAGAAAGAAAGAGAAATTTCCATAATAGCGTCAAGACGCTGAAATCTGAACGGTTTAGATTTCTGCGCAAAGATGCTGCACACTGATTGACGCTCGACGCTCGACGCTTTCATATAATGGCACCTTAATGGAACGCAACCTAGTGATAAAAATTCAATCGCTGAGCCAATATCACTAGAGAACAAGTTCTCCCAATCAAGACAACGACCAATCATGTTCGACGACGACAATCGACATTCCTAGTTCAGTGACCAATAGGATATCGCCGGGCGAGTCGATATCGCCTTTAGGAACGCGGCGACGCGCGCGCAACCCCACCCATTGCCCCGTGACAAATGCAACTTTTACTTCCGGCCTGCGTACACGACCATCGCGCTTGATTTCGTGGGATCGTTCCGTTCGTTCTCCGCAGTGTCCGCGCATCGTTCCAGTGTTGTCGTAGCGTTATTCCTACGTCTTGCCCGACTACCGCCTGCGCTTCGCAGTTGTATACCATCCGAGGGGAATCTTTTGTTTATCGTATGTCCATCCAGAATCTCAACACATTCGGTGAGTAGACAGGATGAGACATTATCAAGCTTGCCCACCTACTTTTATCTCTCTGCGTATCACTCTCTCCCTCTCTCCCCCCCCCCCCCC